CTGAACAAAAAATTTAATGTACAAACATTTGAAAAAATATTAGTTTTAGAACTATTGTAAGTTTATGTAAAATATTTGTATATTACGCGCGTCGTTCGATCACATAAGTTACGCATATCTTATAATCATTGATTAAATACACATAGATAGGCCTTGCTGTACAAAATTTTGGCAGTTAAATTTTTTTGACGAATGGACGCAGGTAGTTATACTGATAGAAGCGTAAATTTCGTTTGCTCCTATTGATTAATAATTACATAGTATTTAAAAAATTTTTAATATTCATTAAATGAATATATGTACATTATTAAACAGTGATTATTATACACGTTAATTGCAATATTTTTATTTTAATAATATACTAAGAATCCTTAATAGAACATTGACATAAAATGTGATACTACAGTACAAAACTAACTGTTAGCCTCTAAATATTTTTAAAAATTATTTTATATAGAAGGATATATAGATAAATTTTGTTATTAGGAGTAGTTGAAAAAGCTATATGATAAAAATTATCATGGGAGCTGTGTCTCAAAACCATAATATTTTGTATTTGTATTATTATATAAAGAACTATGATAATCACATCTAATTGTCCAAAGTAATGAAATATATTATTCTAGAATATTAGGTATGTATACATGGATTTTTTCTTATTAAGTCCGTTTCTATGTGTTAAAAAAAACACATAGTAAAATTAATACCAGCTAACCGTGAGCGAAACGTCAATAAATAATTGAAAACGTGGATACATCTGTGAACTTTTCAAACAATGCGACAATCCACGAAGGCTTCAACACATTCATAAAATTAATACCTTCTCAACTTCTCATCGAAGCTAAAATGTCGGTTTCCAATAGTCTGATTGCCATGGCTTATCAATGTGTATTTAACCTATATTATGATTGTGTAAATTGGGGACAATTGTCTCGCTTAGTTTATTTTTCTAAAAGAAATAAGTTTTATAGAAGATTCAAGGTCATTACAAAAATTACCTTCTGAAACATTGATGTCTTAAGCGTATAATACCTAAATTATGTAGAAGAATGCTTGGAATTAATGTGTTTAATCCATTTTCAGAGTGGTAAGGCGAGATTAAAACAGTATTGCCATTAGAGACTGATCGAAAGTAATTTTAACATGTTTAGAATTGATTTGATGTTAAAAATGCCTTTAAATGATTTTGTGATAACTTTACCAGTTTCACTGGATGTAAATTATCTAGTGTGACCAAACGTCCCGATTTTGACGGAACAGTACCAATTTTCAAGCATGTTTTCCACTAAATTTGGTGATCAAATCAGGACAGTAAAATGTACCGACTTTTAATCGACGTCCCGCTTTTGTCCCGATTCCGAATAATAGTTATTTTTTTCTTATTTTCACTTATGATGTGTATATTTAATGTTTCATCAGATCATATCAGATTATTTTGTACAGTTTTTATAATCTATACTGTGTTATTACTTATTATCGGGACTTGTAAGCTCATGCATTTGCATGTTTTTTTTTTTGCTTCTTAAGAAAACATGCTAAGTGAACTACAAATCCATTTCATAACAATATTAATAAAAATATGAAGTTTGATAGTGCATATTTCTGTATATTTTGGGTATTAGGGCATATAATTGGTTTTTTAGAGTTATTAGTGCATATTATTTACTGTAGATTCAGGGAAATCTTATTTCAATGAAGGTAAAAAAATTATTAAATTCTTAAATCATATTTTTTAGTTTTTTTTTTTCGAATATGTTTACATGTTTAAAATATGTTTAAAATGTTCTTAATATTTAAGATATTGATAGAGTTTTATAAGTTTTAAGCAGTTCACTGGAATTAATATTATCTCACAATCTATAAATTCATTTTCGTCACAATAATACATATAGGTACATATATAGGGGTACAATTTTTCTGATCAATCCGTAAACTATAATCATATTTCCAGCTTCGTTATACTGTTATTTGTTGATTATTTTGTGGTGAATCGTGTCCATTTGTTTTTTTGTTTTCAGTTAGTGTTTTGAGTTTCAATTATAAATACAGTATTTGGACTGTGTCACATTAAATAATGCAAAAAGAAAAACTAACGAACCCAGCTCGTTTGCAAAATTTTGTTTCGAAATTTGACAAAGATATATTTTCAACCGACAACTAGTGATAATTTGTAAAGCTTGTGAAATAAAAGTATCAAGTTAAAAATGTTTCAGTGTAACTCATCACATCACTTCAGACAAACATAAGCCCCGCAGTACAACGTTTTCAAAAAAGTGAAGATAATAAAAAATTCAGCTGCTCGCAGCAACCATGTTAAAAAAAATGAATACAACATCGTTTTATGTAAAGCGATGCCAACCGCTAATATTTTTCTGGACAAACTATTCAATACACAATTCAGAAGTTTTCTCGAGAAGTATACTGGAAAAGATACCTCCGTTGAATCTACTTTGCATTTGGGATGTGTTGACCAATGCTACAATGTTTTACTATTTGTAAACCATTTGGAAAATTGTTATTGTTATTATGTTATTATTTATTATAAATATATTTATTCATATATTACACTTATAAATCATAAAACTTGAAATCAGGATATAAATAAGGAAATAGGAGATCATGTAGCTTTTGGAATAATCCACCAATTTTTTAAAATAAAACAGTATCTAAAGATTTGCATCGAAACGTTTTTTTTGATAGTGATTTTAATCCAATTATATTTTTTAATTATAATTTTTATCCAATTATACCACGTCACCACTTTGCCGCGACCCCTCTGGGCTAAGTTTTTTTTGTGTTTGTTACTACTTTTTCTCTGTTCTCACTGGACCGATTTTTCTTAACGATACGTCAAAAGATCACAAATCGTATCTAGTCGAAGACTATTCTCAAAATATAAAATAATTTCCCTAGTTCCCCGTAAATGACGAAAATTCCCCAAAAAATTACGATTTTGAAAATCGATAAATTTCGAAATTTTTTTTTTAAATTATCATAACTTATTGAAAAATGAAAAAAACATAATAATTTTTTTATATAGAAACCTTAAGTTATTCTCTTTTATTTGATATAATATTTTTGAATATCTAACCCTTTACCTGCTCACAAGAGGGATTCAAAATAGCAACTTTTTTACATAATTCAACTTTTTCAACTTAACTATTGAAAATATTGCATCCTTAAAACATATGTCAAATTAAAGCGTATGTTACGTACTGTAAATTAAAAAAAAAAAATTTCCTGACGATCTATTTTCTTTATACAAATGACTGCCTTATTTGAAAAACATGGTATTTTTGTGTTAAAATTTTTTTTTTTTTGTTTATTTTAAAATACCTTATAAGGGTTTGCCGTAGTAATGAGTCCACCAATAAATTTACATGAATTTAACTTACATTAAATGATTTGGGTGATCATGTCAAATGGAAGTTTAGGATAAGAGTGACTGACCCTAAGTAGTTGAAATAAAAGCGAGGAAACACATTTTTTTTTTTTAATTAGTTTATGTATCTCTGTATCTCTAATAAACGGGCTTTTAATTGCTACACCGAGAAAGGAAAAATAGCTATTACCTTTAATATGGGTTAACCTTTTATCATTCTCATAAGATCGTAGGTAAAATAAACCGTGTATATACGGTAAACATATTTCATATTTCATATTTGACCCAAAAAACTACTNTAAAGAAATTTTAAATTTAGGCTTTTTTAATACTGATAGGATAACATAAAAAAAAAAAAATTTACTATACAGGGTGTTCAGTAAGTCAGGAAACGGGTATCTATTGTTCTCATTGTTTGTAACAATGAGAACAATAGATACCCGTTTCCTGACTTACTGAACACCCTGTATAGTAAATTTTTTTTTTTTTATGTTATCCTATCAGTATTAAAAAAGCCTAAATTTAAAATTTCTTTAGTTGGATAATAATAATTTAAGGCCCATTGAAACAGATTATTGCTTCCGGATTATGAAATCTAAATTAAGCGCATCCCTATTGACGTCTATTCTATTTATACAAAGGATTCACTTAATGTGAACCATCATTTAAATAATAAAAAAATAAAAAACGATAGTACAGTGGGGTCGAGGTACAGTGTAGACGAGGCATAGATGGGACAAGTATAGATGATATTTGACAGTGATTAAAATCACTATCATAAGAAACGCTTCGATGCAAATCTGTAGGTAGTGTTTTATTTAGAGAAATTGATGGATTATTCCAAAAGCAACATCAACTCTTATTTCATTGATTGTATCCTAATTAGTAGTTCTTTGATTTTAAAATACAATATATGAATAAATACTAATTATAATTATTAAATTTAGTATGAAATTGATATTCAATAATTTAATATTGTAAATTTAAACGGAGAAATTATAAAAATAATAAAGAAGTTGTATTTTGCTTTATTTCTACGTGTATATAAAAATTTAAAGGGCTTGATACAATAAATTTAAATAAAAACTGTTTGTTACTATCAGGCCCGCATTTAGAGGGGGGCATTTGCCCCGGGCGACAAATTTTGTAAGGTGACAAAAATCTTAATAGGTATACAATTTTTAAAAATTAATTATTTTTATTTAATTTAAAATTTTTTCAAACAGAACAATTTATTTTTATGAAACAAAAATATCTATTTCTAAAAAAAATATTACTTTATTATTTTCTAACTTAAAACGTGTACAAAGATATAAATGTAAAAGAAGATATATCAAAGCTGTATAACAACATAGACTACAGTTAGTAGTTAGATAATAGTATTGATTATACATAGTATTTTTATAATCAACAGCACTATAAATAAAGTAGGCGGCAATTTATTTGATTCATGTTTTTATCTAATTTTAACAAAGTATTGATATTTTCTCCCTTAAACTGGTTTTGTGGATGTCGTCGGCCGTTGATAGTCGATTATTATTGGAATACTAAGAAAGTTAAAACACAATAATTTGTCTCATTTTTCACAAAATTACTATCTAATAATGTCACACTAATAATGTGTTGTGTACAGACAGCTCATTGTGTTTAGTACTCGACTACAAGTGACCGACTTAATGTGTTGAGGTGTTTTTTTTTATTTGTATATTTTATTATTTATTAACGTATTAAAATGAGTGATGGCAGAAAACGTTTAAGTGGAAGTGCTTATAAAAAAGTTGCTAAATTAAAATTAGAAAAAGAACAAAAAGTCATTTCTCAAACCGCAAAATTAACTTCATTTTTTGGCAATCAACGACCATCAATCTCCAATTCGCCAAGTAAAATAGAGACTACAGCTGAACAGATTTCAAATGAGTCTAGTGATAAAAAGTAATTTAAAAATCAAATGTTAACTTTTGTACGTTATTTCAGTTTTATATAAATGAAAAATTTTATATTTTGTTTAGTGAGCCTAATCTTCAGAGTCCTCTTGAAGCCCTAGCAAATGAAAATCAAATAATTGAAAATTCGGAAAAACAATTAATAAATACGTCTTCTATTGCACCAAGGTAAGGCGTACAAATCAAAAAGAATGCTTGAAGCATATGTTATCTCATCTGCGTTAATTCAGTTTTTTATAAATAAACAATTTTATAATTTTTTAGTGAACATCCTCTACATAGTACTTTTGAAACCATGGCAAATGAAAATCAATTAATTGAATATTCGGAATTATTAAATACGCCAACTAAAAAACCCAATCCAACACTTTTTGGGGGGCGGCAAAATTAAGAGCACCGGGCGGCAAAATTCCTAAATGCGACCCTGGTTACTATAAATAAATGCACTGAACTACAAGAAACTTTTNCTGTTTGTTACTATAAATAAATGCACTGAACTACAAGGAACTTTCATCAGTAACAAAAATATACCATTCTTAATCAACATTTCGCGATGTTTTCAAATCTGCAACTAGACTTTTTCTATCACTTCTAAGTTTTAATATTATTAAAAATTAGTATTTACATATAAAAAATTCGCATCGAAGCTAAAAAATTGGCTATTTAAGCTAATTCAAATTTAAAAATTACTTTTTCGACTTTAAAAAAGTAAAAAAAATTTAATAAGTTTAATTTCTTATGTCTTATGAACTTTATTCTATGTCTATTAAATTATATAATATTCATGAAAGTCAATATATTCTCCTAATAAGATATTTTAAAATAAAATAAAATTCAAAACCTAGAATTTTAATAGAAAAATAGCATATTTTTGAATACGGTAGCCATTTGCGCATAGAAGATAGGTCGTCGGGACAAATTTTTTTTTTCATTTTATAGTACATAAAATAAGCTTTAATTTGATATATGTTTAAAGGACGCAGTATTTCCGGAACATTTTCAAAAATTAAGTTGAAAAAGTTAATTTTTGTAAAAAAGTTGCTATTTTAAATCTCCCCCAATGAGCAGGTTAAGTGTTAAATTTTCAAAAAAAATGATATCAAATGAAAGGAAATTATCTAAGATTTTATTTAAAAAAAAAATTATGTTGATTTGTTGCTTTTTAAAAAAGTTATGGAAGTTTTAAGAAAAAAAGTGAAAAAAATGACAAAATTTACCGATTTTTAAATTTGTAATTTTTTTGGATATTTCCCCCATTTGCGGTGGACGAGGGAAAATTTTTCAATTTTTAAGGGTAATTTCTTCAATTAGATACGATTTGTGATCTTTTGACGTATCATTGAAAGAAATCGGTCCAGTGAGAGCTGAGAAAAAGTGGTAACAGACATAAAAAAAAAAACACATCATAGTAAAATTAATACCTTCTCAGCTTCGCATCGAGCTAAAATATTGTTAATTTTTCATAGTTTTATTTAGTTTTAGTTTCATGTTTTTAATTGATCAATCACAAAGTATATTCATGTTCTTCCAAAATTAAAATTTTTAAAATGGCAACACATGGAATTAACTAGCTTATTTAATTGATAATGATGTAATTAAAAAAATTACTAGTCGATAACAACTTTTTGATCAGTATTTTGGAAGTTATTGATATTTTTATACATAGATGGGAAGAAAGGTGTTACCAAAAAATATTTAATAATAAATATTGTCATATCCATGACTCACCTCCAGGTTATATATTGTAATTGTTTAATTCCAAAATAATGGTCCAAAAGTAGTTATCGGCCATTAATTTTCTTAATTACGTCGCTTAAATAAGCTAGTTAATTTTGTATGACCCCATCTAAAAAATTATAGTTGACACACTTATAAAGAACAAGGGATTAACATAAAAAATACTTCATGAATGATAAATTGATAAAAACATAAAAGAAACCAATAAAAAAGTTATGAATATTATTATTATTTTTTTTATTAATTAAGTGGTTCACGATAAGTGAATAATTCTGTATATGTAATAACAGATAGATATGCAACAGATTTCTTTTTATATAATTTACTATCTAATAGTAGATAAGTAGATAATGATAACAGTTCATTATAACTGATATTATAATAGTTGTGCTATCTAATAATCTTTTGTATTTCGATTATAAGTAATGTCTAACGAATATTTCGTTAAAGTTCAAAAGTGAATTATTAGTTAAATATAAATGTAAAAGTATTAATAGTACCGATAATAGTTTCCAAAAAGTTTTTACTGTTTTAAATTTTTAAATACTCACATATTACTAGTACAATGGGTAAAGATCGTAAGAAACATAAAAAACATAAGCATTCTAAACATAATAATAAATCAAAAAATGTTAATTATCCAACTCCAATTGTTCCCATAAAAAAATGCCCTCAACGAATTGAAACGTCACTTGAGGTCCAAGAAAATACTTCAATTGGCCCTGTTATGCCATCTACTACATCAAATACAATTAAGAATGAATCGAGCTCTAGAATTACTGAAGAAAATTTGAATGAATATGGTCCTAGCTTACCACCGCATTTAGTACAACAAAATAAAATAATTCCTGGACCATCATTACCTCCAGGTTTTCTTGTAAATGAAAGAGTTGAAGAAGCGGAAGAGGATGTTTCAAACATTGGTCCATTACCAGATGATTTAATTTCTTCAGATTCTGAACAAATGTTTATTCAAACTCAGTTAGAATTAAGAGCTAATTATATGAAAAAAAAATTTGCAGGAGAGGTAAATTATTAGTTAAAAAAATTCCTTTAAGAGCATGGTACCACTCATTAGTGATTTTTATATTTGACATTTCATAGAGTATTTTTAAAGTTTTGAAACATAACATCTTTTGCTTCTTTAATAACTTCAAAAATAAAAATATTATATGCAAAATTTAAACAGGCTATTTATGACACATCAAACTATAAAACTGCAAAAACCTATTATACTCAAGTATAAAGCTAGGTATGTTTTTCATTGTTCTCTGTACCTTTATAACTTTGTATGACAACAAAAAAAATATAGGGATAATTTCTTCAATAAGTTGTTTTAAAATTTATTTTATTATTTTCAATTGTTAGGTTGGTTAATTTTAATGATTGACTGATGTATCTGATTAAATTATTAGTACAATAGTCTTCTTTTTGCCTCTGTACTATTGTGTATTTATACTATATAATATATAATTAACTAGGTATATTAACATGTTCTTATAAGCTAAATAACAATAACAATACTATTTTCTTCCAAAGATTGTTATACATATCTGAAATTTACCAAAATCTTCATAAACACATGAATATTTTTTAAAGAAAAACTTAAACAAAAATTTATTGAAATAATTGACTGTGATTTTCTTGAATAAAAACTAAATAATTTAAATAAATAGAAAAATAAAATTGATCAAGTTATTATAGAATATCTTAAATATTTTCTTTCGCTTTTAGTGCTATTGCAACCTTTCCCAAATGGGAGATTTCTTAACCATTTATACCCACATACGGATAGTAAGTCAATTGCTGTAAAGAAGGATGGCAACTTAAATTACTGAATTAATCTCTCAATTGTCAATTGTAACTACCTATGACTGAGATTTAGTTTGAAACAGTTCATATCAGGTACTGACGTGTTACCCATTAGACCATACCATCCTAATGTGTGTCATAAATATGTAATTATTTATTCTTCAAATTATTATTAATAATAGTAATATGATAATATTTTGTGGTTTAAGATACATGAAGAAAATACAGTCTCAGCCAGGGAGAAATGGATGTTAGAGTTACCACCAGAAAAAGCTACAAATATTGGACTAGGTCCCAGACAATTTCGTAAACGAGAAGGTCCTGATATGAGGAATCGATCAGAATGGACTGATACTCCTCTTGATAAAATGAAAAAAAAAGATAATCCTACAATAGATGAAACTACTAATACAATAGCTTTAAGACAAATTGCTATAAAAAAACGTAATATGCAAATGGAAAAAATGGCAGAAACTTCAGAGAAGCGGAAACCTTATTCTTTAGTTGAAATACACCAAGAAAAACTCAAAAAAGAAAAAAAAGTATAAAATCAAATTAAAACATTTTTTTACATTTTGGATGATCTTTGTTAAATTATAATTGTATGATAATTTTGTATGATATTTACTACTGATGTAACAAACCTTTAAAAATTTTAACTGAACCTTGGGTTATTGATTTGTTTAAAATTTAACAAAAAGTATAACCTTTGGTTTAATTATAAAAATTATAGAGTTACACTTTGTTCAACATTTATTTCATTGATTTAATCAATAAATAAATAAAAATATTTCCCAGCAAAAATTACAGTTATAAGCTCTTGCCTTTTTATTATTTTTGCTTCTAAATATTTATCATGTAAAACTTTTCTTACATTAAAATTTTTATATAGCATCTAAAATTAATAGTTGATTAAAATTAAATATTTTAACTTTAATATTTCAGAAAAAAAGTGAAAAGAAGTCACCTCAAGAAAGGAGACCATTTAGTAGAGATATTGATTTACAGTCCAATCGATTTGATAATGCTCAAAAACAGTCAATACTGAAAAAAGCAAGTCAGTTAAATAATAGATTCTCACAAGGAGAATCAAAATTTCTTTAACACGTTATTAAACAAATAAATAATTTAATGAAGTCTATTTTAGAACATGTGTTTTTCTATTTTTAAATAAATATTTTATATAATCATTTTATTTCAAGACTATATAACTTCTATTCAATAAAAAAAAAAGTTTTGACTTTTTATGGAGCTTTTTCTATTTATTTATGTTAGTATTAAATATTTTAGGAAAAAAAAATACATGTCTGTTTTTTTTCTTATACTTAATTATACTTGAAGAAGCATAGGAAGTTCTTTACACAAAAATAATATAACAAAAATTTATAAGTCAAGATTACAACTATGCCATGAAATTGATCTGATCATAAAAATTTAGTATTCAGAAAAACATTTCTATTCAATCACAGTTAAGCATTTGAGTAACTGAAGAAAGTTAACTTTTGAGTAATACAAAAAAAAAAATTAAGTTTTAGCAATTAAATAATTTACTAAAATTTAAAAATATTTTGTTAGTTTTATTACAAATGAAATAAAATAAATTGTATCAACTAAATAGGTTGTTTTTAAATTAATTATATTTGAATACTATTATTAGAAACAAAAGCTTCTACTATATAAAAATATAACAAATAGGAATTTGTAAATGGATTGAGAAGTAATAATTAAATTACAATTAATAACAAAAATTATATTTTGTAATTATTACTACAAATATTATAATTCAGAAAAATATTATATTATCATTAACAAAAAACTTAACAATAATAATATTTAGTTATTAGTTCAAAAAATTAATCAAGCATTCATTTTTTTATCTTTTTCTCCATGTATCCTATTTTTTGTAAGTAACGAACTGTTATACCAGTACCTCCTAGCGTAACCATATATCTTAGAGGTGTAAATATTTTATATAAACCATATGCTATCAATAGATGTCCTGTGAATGTATTTCCGTTCTTGACTTTATCAGTGATCCATTCCGGTATACCTATCAAATCCAGAAGAGCTGGTACATCTACACCACTACTGGATATAAAATAAAATGATCCAAACCAGACAGCAGATGTAATTAAGTGTACTGGCAAAACAATAAACCAATATTTTTTATAAACAGTTTTGAATCTTTGAAAGATACTAGGTTTACTATCATTTTCTGAAGGTGATGAACTTGTTATATATCTGAATATTGAGTTATTATTAAATCTTTTATTATTATTTATTAATAATAATGAATTACCAGGATAATAATATGATCTTCCAAACGAATTATTTTGAAATAAAAATCTTTGTAAATTTTCTGAATTTCGTTTATACATTTTCAATGTATGAAAACAGCATCTCACTATCATAATGAATATTTTTTTAAAAGTACTATTTTAAAACTAACAAAACATTCAATTATTCAAAAAAGTAAGTTAAATTTAAATCCCGATTAAATTAATATCTGACCGGATATGAGACTTATTAATTTCTCTAGTCTTTATCTAACGCCGAACTTTGATAAACCAAAAAATGTAGTCTATTATCACTATCATGGCCTTAAGGTTCTTATCAGAGTTTCGCTTAATCAGTTGAAAACCTTTCAGATATTGTCCGCAAAAGATCTGTTTTTCAGGGGAATGTGTATAAATATAGTGTTCAGTAAGTAAGGAAAACTTTTGTAAGGTATTTTAAAATAAAATAGATTACAAAATCGAAAATTTTAACACAAAAATAGCATATGGTAGCCATTTATACCATGAAGGCAAAATGAAGAAATCGGTTCGGTGAGAAAAAGTGGCAACAGACACACAAAAAAAATAAAAAACATATCATAGTAAAATTAATACCTTCTCAGTTCGCAATGAAAAAATATAAATATGCATATGTTTTAGGTTTAACAAATAATCTATTTTGGAAAAATTTTAATGATAAGTAACTTAAAGAAAATAAAACGTTAATTAAATTTTATAAACGCTTATAATAAAAGTTTTCATTTAATTTTGCTAGTTCTCGCAATTTCTTAATATGAACATTAATAATTGTGTCTTATTGTCTATCATGTCATTTCATTATCACACCACCAAATGTTACTAATTGTTTTAATTTTTTCGATAATAACTCAATGTTTAGAGAATTGTTTGATGTAGCCATTTTCTCTTTACTTAATTTTTTTTATTTAAAGTACATATGTTTTTGTTAAACATTATGAAAGCAACTTCTTTTGCACTAGCATGATTTAATAATAAATTTTTTTTATTTTACACATCCATTTAACTACTAAGAATAAAGAGTTGTTTAATTAGGAAATTTTTCACTTTCCCACAGTTTTAAAATTCTCATTAATTTACAAGTGAGAACAAATTTTAATTCCATAGTATTTCTAAGGGACAATTAAAATTAAATTTACTTTATGATTGTTTAAACATTTTAAGTTCATTAGAAAATATAATTTTTTCCCTTTTTGAATCATGGGATACTAGTTGAAATCGTTTGAATACAACGTATATAGGAATCATATGACTTGTATGGAGAAGAGTAACGTTTATAATATATGAAATAAAGAAGTTATGATTGCCCTATGGCCGTAAAATATTGGACTGGATTGACCGTGCGATTTGGGGCTTGACAACTTGTGTTTCAGTTGTAGTTGGTTCATTTGACATCACAATTAATATATTTATATATTCAATTTTTGCTATTCATAGGAAAATGTTGTCAAACAGTTCTTCGCTTATGGAGCAATTAAATGGAATCCGTAAATTCGCGTCATAGACAAAATTACTAAAGGTGATAATTTTGTTGAACTGAGAATGGAAGAAAGAGCGGCATAGCAATCGGTATTTATCGTGAAAGATTACGGTTAAGTAACAAGTTATATTCTATTGATTAAACAAGATTTCGATTCATTACTAGAGTTTACAACTTCACTTATACTGAATTATATTTACACATATCCAAAATAAAGAAGAAAAGGTTACGCCCTACAATTGATAAAATACACAAAAGAAAAGAAATTTTCTGCTTTCATTTCGAACGCACCAAATGTATCATACACGAAAACGGCTAAGTTGAAGTTGGTGACTATAAATACACAAAACAGTTTGGTTTTAAAAAATTGACTAAATGGATAAACGTTCACAATGTTCTATCATTATCTATAACGATAATTAATGAAAGTAGAAGTAAATTTATTATTTAACTTAAATTTAAATCAAAACATTTTATTAAATTTGACATTTTTAAGGAACATAAAATTTATTTTATTTATTAAAAAAAATGTTGCTAGTATAAATTAATAAAAATAACAAAATTGATAATCATTTAATTAAAAATAAATAACTTAAATAGAATGAAGTGACTTATTAATAAATAAAATAATAACAATATAATAATAAATAATTAAGCTTCCAAATTTAAAATATATAAATACAAAGTAGGAATGATATTTTTATTCAAAATGGTGTTTGACATAATAGCTAAGTTTACAAATAAGTATGAGTGTATGTGCATACATAATAAAAATTTTATTAGCTATCTGATAAAAATATGATTATGTACCACATTGATATTAAAAAATCCTTGTTAAAATTAGTTCTATACAATTTTTTTTTTTTTAAATATCCTACATAGGCAACTGGAATTGATTGATCATTTTTGAATAATAATAATAATTATATCTTTTTATTTAAATAGATAGTGACTCTAGTACACAATATATACTCATGCACCATTTTATCATGTATAAATTATTTAATCTAAAATTTAATTACTTAAAGATATTTTAAAATAAAATGTGTTTAATAAACACAAAAATTTTATTGATAACTTTTACTTTAAAATGTATAATTTTTGGATAGTCATATATATTTTAAACATTGTAACTATTATGATATGTCTTCTAAAACAGTTATATCAATATATTTTTTATAAAAAAAAAAAAAAAAAATTTGTATTATAATTTAAATATGTGTGTAAATTATTTCAAACAAATAAGTTGGATATAAATTAATTAAAAGTGTATAGAAATTAATTTAAAAAAAATTATTCATTTCGACCTAAATGATCAGGGCATAGTGGTTCATTAGTATTACTTTGTTCACTGTCACTTGATGAGCTTTCCATAAAGTCCCATTCTTAAAATAAAAGTAATTAAAAATTAATTATTAGTTATTTTTATAGGCATAATTGGGATGGTGTGAAAAATACCTAGGAATACATTGAAAATATTACCTAAGCTGATAGATTACACACTTTTTTAATTTAAAAGAAAGATTGGTTAATAATAAACTTTTGTAATTTGTTATGTAAGACCAAAAATCTATCTATTTTCTAAAATTGAAGTTTAATCATATCTTTGAAAAATAGACATTAATGTTAATTAATATTAATTATTACCTCTATAAACATCTTCAGTTAATACTGAACTAAGTATTCCATCAAGATTTTCAGTAAGATTCGCAATATAACTAAAATTTTATAACATTTAGAATTAATCAATGGTATATAAGTAATCAAAAATCTCAAATAAATGTGAGGGTAGTACTCAAATACTAATAAGAGATGATTAAATATAAGTTTCTTATTTTGTATAATAATTATAAGAAATAAATATGAAAGAAAAGTGTATAATGCTCTTAAACTTAAACTTAAGTAATAGTTTAGGAAAAACTTTTTTATTTTTGCTGACTGGTATCTTTGTGGATGATTTTACTTCAAGGTGGCTCATGATATCTTTATAACACACTGCCTACTATATAAGGTGGTTAAATTATTGGTGACAACTAGATCTCTACTAAAAAGTAAATTTTTTTTATTTTGGTTTATTCAGTAGTATTATTTATAAATTTATAAGTGATCAAATATTTTTTTAAAACCATCTCTGATATCTCTGATAATTTAGTTTGACAGTTAGACAATGGTTTAACTAAGAAAATGCCTATTCGGTAACCATAGAATTTATGAATATTTTCATAGTAGAATGTGAGATCAAAGAAATGTGTAATGGTAAAAAAACATAACTGACGGTTCATGGTCTACATTAATAAATTTCAAATGAACCCAATGAGGTCGCTAAACTTTGTACTTGATTTAGTTAATAGCATTTGTCAATTAAAATAAATTCAGGTTATTGCTATCAATGATATCTTTATTCATTAAATTAAGAAAAATGTCATTACCTGTCTTCTGACGAATCTAACATATCTGTTTCATCTAGTTCTACTAATTTCTTAATCTGTAACAGTTTATAATAATCATGCACATTATAAAAATTTGAAAAAAAATATTTTTGAAAACTCATAAATATAGAAAAGTAAAAATTATATTATTATAATATGCCAATATGATCTATATGAAACTTTATTTTTAATTTAAGATTTTAAAGATGTGAAAAGTTATCACAAAACTCATGTATGATTATTGTGATGCCATTTTGATTTTTGTAACATTTATTTTCTAAAAATAATCTATAATAATAATAAAAAAACATGGGTAAAGAAGCAAACATGACTAATTTTTGTAAATTGTTCATTGTACGAATTTGGACTTTAGCATTACAAGTATTTTAAGGTTAAACACATACAGAATGACTAGATGTATTTAAATTATTGTCCTCATTTGAAGTCTGTAAATTAACATCATTTACTGATAAAGTTAAGTGATTTGAACTGCTTGGTTTTGAAAAACATTCTGTAAGCAGAATTATATACATATTAATATTATTAAATATACTTGTATAATTAAATAAAAATACAGTTATAAGAAATAAAATATTTTAAACATTATAGTTAATACAGTAATACCAATCTCTATATAAAAATATTGAAGATGTAATATGTTCCTTAAGGAGTGGTGACATTGCCTAAACAGTAAAATAAGTAAATATAATTAAAAGTAAGTTTATTTCTCAGAAAACAGAAATTACAAGAATTGAGAGTTTAAATATGTCTCAAAGTATATAATTATACATTATTTATACAGTAAAAATATTAATGTTATGCAATATACTTAGTTGAAATTAGTGATACTAAATATGTTAGTTGGCTAATTAAACTCAATCATTTTTTGACTAATAATATATTCTATGTAAATGAAATCATGAATTGATGTGAATCTTTGATTTCTAATAATTATAATTTGTATAAATGAGAAAAAATTGTGGCACTAGAAATGTGTTAGAATTTTTTTCAAATAATCATAAAAAATTATTATTTAAAAGAAATAACCCCAAAAAGACTAAACTAAGAGCACCATATTCATCATTAATTAAAAATAGACACTAAGTTGGTTACCATTATACCACAAAAATATACTTAAAAAGAGAGAATTTAGTGCTTGCAAAATAAGCAAATTAATTAGTAATATAACTAATGAATTTTACCTGAATGTGTACTACGCATAGCGTTTTCTAACTTTGTTAAACGAAACCTAAAAACAAAAATAATTAATAGTGCTTTTATTAGTGAAAGAGATTTTAATAAACAAAATATTTTGTTCAAACAAATGTGATTTATAGTTAATAAAAGAAATTTTTATTACCTTGCTTCAGTTATTTCTGATTGTATTTTATTCACTACTTGTACATTTTCGTCTGTACCTAAGAAATTTGCACAAAGTAGATCATTTAAATGTATAAACAGTCAGTATTTTACATCATAATATGCATAGGCGTCATTTCAATATTTTATCTGGGGTGGCAAATTTAATTAGCCTAAATGACCTTTTTTTTTTTACAAAAATAACATTTGTTAAACTAACTCCCATATATGGAAGGCCATAATTACCTTAAAACAATATTTTTTAATCACTTACCTTACTAGCTAAACCTTATTTAACCCATTGAATTATAAAAGAGAGAAATTAAGTAAATATAAAAAAACTTTTAATAATAATCAATGTTTATATTCATTTTCATACAAAATGAAGTCTTCTATTTCGGTTTAAATCAAAATCATCAATAACTTTAGAAATGTTTACTTTTACATTCCTTTCGATGGCTAAAAGAGCCAAAGATGATAATCTATCCTGTCCAACTGTACTTCTGGTGTATGTTTTCAATCGACGCAAGCATGAAAAAGACCTTTCACATGAAGCCGAGTTCATTGGAATCGTGAAAAACAAACGAAAAAGTTCAAAAAGCATAGGAAACACATTTTTCAAAGATTTATGAACAAAAACGTCAGCTCTTTCTTGAATTGATATGTTTCTTGATTCTTCCATTTTAAGGAAACATCTAAGTTCAGATAGAAGAAGTTCGTTGTCTAAATTATAATATTTAGACACATATTGCACAGAGGCTGTGTCTACATCGGTTCCACCTAGAACTCCACTTAAGTGGTTAAGTACATCTAGGATGTTTTCTTGAAGTCTAGCCTCTATCTCCTCGATTAGGATATCAATAACTGGCCAAAGGATTGATACTTTGTAGTACTGCTCTACAGATTCAAATGGGGTTTTACTTCCTCCACCAATTTTTAGTGGAATTCGGCTATTTCTTGGCAGTTGGGCGGTTTTAAACCCGCACTTGTCAGTGATGTCTGTGCAGTGATCAAACAACTTTGTGAAAAATTCATGTGTTCTGAAGGATTTTAATACATCAAGAGTGCTGTTTTTTACAGATTTCACAATTTCATAAGTCACACTACTTGACTGAAGTGTTTTTGACAGTACATCACATTGGGATAGAACTCTTTTGAGCAATAAAAGGTCAAATACAAAGTTAAAGTCCTCAATATTTTTCAATAACGCATTGGCTTGTCCACCACTATCATTGTCTTTTTCGGAAATCTCCCGTAAAGTTGCAAGAGTGGCATCAAAATTATCTAGTAGAGAGCGTACGGCTTCGACACGACAAGCCCATCGAGTGTCACTTAAAGATTTTAATGTTACTGTTCCACCATCATGGCTTTGAAAAGTTTTTTGAATTTCTTCAAAAACAGCATGTCGTTTAGTTGATTTCGCAATGAAGTTATAAAGACTTTGAAGTACAAAGAACGTGTTTCATATTGAAGTAATACGAGTGCAACAGCTTACAATGCACAAGTTCAATATATGTGCGTTGCAGTGAATGTACATTGCCATTGGAGCTTCTTGCATAATTATAGCTGCCACTCCTTTATATGGGCCTCTCATGTTTGAGGCGCCATCATAGCACTGAGCACGTAGGTATTTTAGGTTCAAGTCCAGCGAAATCAAAACATTCTTCAGTTCATTGGCCAGTGAAACGCCGTCAGCTCTTTTAGTACGGTAAAATCCTACAAATGACTCATGAATTTCTAACTTGACATTAACATACCTTAAGACAATAGCTACTTGTTCGTGTTTTGCTATGTCTTGAGTCTCCTGCTATAATTGCAAAAATCTTTGCNCTGCTATAATGGCAAAAATCTTTGCCTCTTTAACTTCTTTGGCAATGTGCATTTTAATTTGTTCCCCAATAATTGACAATAGCTCATTCTGGAAAGTCGGTGAGGTATACTGAAATTTTTTTTGATTATTCATGAAGAATTTTTTTATTACACAGTTATCTATAGAACGAAGCTTCATAAGCTCCAAAAAGTTTCCTCTATTCTTCGAATCTGTAGATTCGTCATGACCTCGCAAAGCAATAGATTGCCTACCACAAAATATCAGCGATTCACACAAAGCTTCTAGGTACAATCTGTTTTCTTTTACTTCTTCTGAATACTGCTAATGTACTTTTTCTATAACAGTGCCACTTTTGTCTGCTTCTTTTAGAGAATTGAGTTTAATGTTACTAATTCTATGTGAGCTGCTATTCTCGTGTTTCTTAAACGCGTTTACAGCTTTCTTCCATTTGGAAAATCCAGTGAGGGTAAATACATCTTCTGCATTATTTTCTTCAGAGTTGTAAAACAAACGGCAGACAAAACAGAACGCTTTATCTGTTAAAATACTGTATTCCAGCCAAGAAAATATTTTATACCACTCTGGCCTAAATTTCCTACCGTCCACTTGAGGGAAATTTAAATCCTGTGGTTGAAATGAACCTTCCTTAAAATATGTCTTGGCCATACCTGGTCCATGAATAGGATCTCGTTTATTAATTGGACCAATTATTAATTGGTCAGTTGTACTGGAGGAAGACCTGAGCCTCTGAATTTCATTTGAAGGAGAATTGCCCTTAGAAGTTGTGGTTGAGAGAGCGACTGATAAGCCTAATACATCTTCTACTTCTGGTTGATGTTCCAAAGCAACTCCATCAAATGGTTCATCTTCTAACCGTTTCTTCTTACTCGCAGGGTCTGAGCTAAAGTAAGACAGCAACGAACTTTGTCCTTTTTTATTTTTCTGAGAAAACTATAAAAACAAATAGCAAAATAAGGTTCTTTTTGAATTCCAAATTTATAAATTTTTGCGAATAGGTTTATTGTTTTGTTTGATTGCTTGCGGAGGTGTAGTAATGAAGTGGCAAGGTGGCATTTTGCCCCTTCCCAAAATATAATTTTTGTTGGCAAAATGGTCTTTTTTCTTTAATACAGTTGGCCGAAATGAATTTATGAAATTAAATAATATAATTAAGTTATATCATACAAAAAAAATAGAGAAAACACACTATTACGAATATGCTTGTGTAACGCATATTTCATATGAGACCTATGATCACAAGGAGGACGACAATTAGGAGTTTTTATTTCTTAAAGATAAACACAGTAAGGTTTTATTGTAATTTTTGTAAATTTTTTGTATACTACAGCTATTTAGGATCCAATTCAATACACAGAATACTTAATTCTGCCACCTCAACAACCATTTTTTTATATACTCATAAAAATTAAAAATGTTTTCTCTACATCGCATCAAGGTCTTCAATTCTAAATGTACTTATTTGCGTTACAACTTAAATGTATTTTGGAAAAAAGAATGAATTAAATGCGTTTAAAACTTTTTTAAACATTAATTTTTCTGAGGTGATAAAAAAAGTTTATGAAACAAAAAAACACTAAGATAACAGTTATAATCAATTTTAATGGGTTTAAATACAAATTGACATTTAATGAATTATTTGTGGATTTAAGGCATGCATAATTTTTTTGATCCGTTGAGAACTAATTTTAGTGTACTAAGACCACAAGCTATTTCAAATCAAAAAATCATCTGGATAAAAAAAAATGTGTAGGCTTGGATCGATAAAGGTTTTTATTTAATTTGATCTGCTTTATTTGAATCTGCATTTAATTTGGCCCATATCCCCTTATACTCTAATACTATAAGCAGGACCCCCACAAGGGGGGGCCAGTCGGTACCATGGAACCGGGGCCCTGGCCTCTTTGAGTTCCCGGCAGAAATATGAATAAGCAAAAAAAAAAAAAGGTCTTTAAATAAATAATAAGGGCCCGGTTTTTATTTACAGTATCGTACTTCAAAAATTCGTGTGGGGGGCCTGACTATAAGTATACCTATTATGAAAAATTAGTAGCTATATGGTGTGGAACAGATTGATTACAGTTGATATAAGCTCGTTGTATAGAATCTTTCAAAACAAAATTTTATTAATGTAAAATACTTGATAGAATAGCCAGGATCAGCTTGAAAGCGGTTCAGATGAGGGACGAGCAAAAAAAAAAAAAGGTCTTAAAAAAATTTCAACCACTAAATAGGCCCCGCAAAAATATTTTGCACGTTGCCCCGATTTTACCAAGCTGGCTCTGACAATAGTGAATAATACGATAAAGAACTAAAATACCGTACTTATACATAACTAATTAAACCTGTAAAATTAATTTTATAAACTTACCATGTCTTTGATCACAAAAATAAAAAACTGGCATAAAGCTACTCTAGCAACTAACTCTGCTCAATAGCAAAAATAGTGGCTATACCATTTAAGATGGAAATAACCGATAATCTTTCTAGGAAACTAGTATAGCTTGTTAATGTTGTCGCGACGTTGATGAGGGTACTATTTCTGTAAACATTTTTTGTACATGTGTACATAATATATTTATATACAATAACAATATTACGACACAGTCGCGGTGTCATCACTCAGGTGTTTTCCCGCAGCCGTGCCAGCTAACCATTGCCCTACTACATACGCGAACACAGGACTGATACGCATACGCATTATTATCATTTTTATTATTGACAAGAATCTTTCATGTATAGAATATTTTTTAATTAGATAATTGGAAATAATTAAGTTTTACTTCAAAATTCTGGGGTGGCAAAATACTGGGTCCAGAAATTCAGGGGTGGCAACTGCCCCCCCTTGCCACCCCCAAATGACGCCTATGATAATATGATAGTATAGTCTTAGTAATCCTACTAATAATAAATGTCTAATTTATTAATATTTTAATGTAATAGCTACCTACATCAATTTTTAGGTTTTGTTACAGACTAAAGAATAGATTATAAAATATTCAAATACAAGTTTTAAGCAAAAAAAAAGAAAAGTCAATAAAAATGATATGGGTCACTATCTACAAGTTTATAAACATTCCTAATGAAGGCCTTAAATTTCTAAGTGTGTGAATAGTTAAAATATAAATAAATATAAATAGTTTTATATATAAAAAAAAAACCTCTAGATTACCAAAAATAAAATATTTTAGTAGGTCTTACTTGATTTTTTGGAAGAGTCTGTATTATTTTCTTTTAATACTAATGAACAATTTTCTGAATTTAAATCTAAAATCATATTTTGGGTTATATAAACATAAATAAATACTATTTATGCATATCTATTGCATACTTATTAAATAATGTAAAATTAAAATAATAATTTAAAATAACCAACCAGGATGACTCGGATTTTCTGAATTATCTATTAATTTTTCCCTGAAACTTCCAATATCAATAGTTCTATCAGGAACCTAAACAATTTTTTTTGATAAAATACAAATAGTTTTTGGTATAACTTTCATACTTCTGTTTCTTGAAAAAGTCTACTTAGTCGTTCAAACATCAGTTGAGCAGTTTCTCCTTGAAAACGATTTGAAGTTTCACCATCAAATAATGTTTGAACGTTAATAGGAGGATGAACTAAATTATTGGAAGGTGTAAGATCCTTTACAATTTCATCACTTTCAAAATATTTTTTTTGACATTTGTTAGCACTACTGTTATTTAATTTATATAACATTAGTTCATTAATTATTTTACTAGTTATAATTAAAAATAATCACCTAGTGGCTTCCACACATTCAAATTCATCAAGAAGTGATTGAATTTTAATTTTTAGTTTTTTTTTGGGACTTGGAATTTCATTACTAATTGGTTTAACTTTGGCTGGAATTTTCTAAAATAAAACAACATAAAATCTTTAATGAAGGTTATCTTAAACTATTTTAATTAAGACTAAATATTTTTTCTGTAATAATTAAATGAAAACTATAATTTAAGAATTTATATGAACCTGCTTTAAATCTTCAAAATTTTGTGACAGTACAGAGTTTTCAAGTTCTAGTCTTGATAAATACCATTGTTGTTCTCTACATTTTTGATAATATGTAGGAGGGCGAACACTAAATCTTAAAGTACATATTTAATAAATTAATAGAACTGTTATACTTTCTGTCAAACTGAACTCAACAGTCAAAATTACATTGTTAATTATAAATATACACAAGTGTGCATTACTAATATTATAATCTTAGTATATATTATATAATTTAATCCAAAACAATTATGATTATTAAATATAGGATTCAATAGATTTAACAGATCAATTATAGTAAATCATAAATTATTATTTACTGTAATATGGAAAGGAATAATGAAAAAAAACATTTGTGGATTACTATTATTGATGCATAAGTGGTTATTTATGATTTAGTCATAAAAAATATCTGTGCATAGTATTTGTTAGTGCTAAAAAATAACTTGACATTTAACCAAAAATTAGAGAAGTAATTTAAAAATTATTAATCAAAATAATTTTATTCAGGAACATATCTAGGATTTTTCTATGGAGGTGTACTAAGAAACATTTTTTGGTTTAGATAATAACTTAATTGAGTTATTTAAACCTAATATTCATAACTATTTTAAGTATGTCAAAAATTGTTAAGACAAGTTAAGATTGCTTGAAGTGCTTGAGGATATATCCATGTTTAAAGTTGAGTTCTGACGTTTCGGACTCATTGCAGAGTCCATCTTCAGAGTGATGGTTGCTAGTCGGTGGCTGCAATGAGTCCGAAACGTCAGAACTCAACTGTAAACATGGATATATCCTCAAGCACTTCAAGCAACAAAACAATCCATGAAAGTTTTAACACATTCATAACAAGTTAAGATTTTAAAGTTAATATTAATTTTTGAAACTTACTTCAAAATCAATGTGTTTTGTATTAAAAAGCCTTCATTTTCCAATAAGTCAAGTCTAAAAAATCTGTTGTAACCCCAGCATTCACCGATTTCAAAATCAGAAGTAAATTCTCGAAGTACGTTTTTTGATGCATCATTATTATTTAACTGATTTATCATTTCAATACGATACTCATATCTATAATAAAAGAAATGATTTAACTATAAAGTAAAATGTTATATAACAATGTCTAATAATTTTTATTAAAAGATAGTTATAATTTAATTCGTATAAGAAAATTTAGGTGAGAGCAAGTTTTGAATCATTTAAGCTCAGGTTTCTATTTTTCCTTTTTTAATAATTTATACAATTGTTCAATATATTCATTTTTTAGAAACAGTTTAGTGATTAAAAAAAAGGTAGGAAAAATTGGTTAATTTAACTATTACTTATTTTCTATTCAAGCACTAATAAATACAAATAATATATTTTCTAAAATTACTTGACAATCAGAATTAAATATTAACATAATATATTCTATATATTATTTAAGTACTTTTTTCAAGTATTACCTTGACACACCAGGTGGACCAGAAGTTAACTCTAAAAATACAGATAGATATCGGTCTCTTACTATACCATTTCCATTTGGATAAACTTTGAGTCTCCAACTAACACCATTACTGCCAATTGGTAATGAATAAATTGGCTCAGATTGAAACATTTTTTCAGAAAATGATTTAATAACTAAATTACCACCTTCAAATTTAGGTGTTACAACACTGTTAAACAAAATAAAAAATATATCATATAACATTTTAAATTTTGAAGATTTAATAAAATAAAAAAAATTATGGTGATTTTGAATTATATTCAACAAATCACGTCTGATTTACCAAGAACATGTAACTGACATTTTTTTTAATATTGACATATTGGTATCATTGAACTCATAGTTTAAAGATGAATATAATATAATCTAGATTATTTTAATTCCATTGTGTATATAACCCAATATAATTACAATAGACTTAAATATATAAATTTGACCAAGACAGTATTACATCTTAACAAAAAATTTGACATTGATTTATTTCTACCATTATATAAAATAAAATACAAATATTTTATAAATAAAAAAATTCAAATTAGTTTAACAAGGAAATAGTAATATATAAGATTTACTTTAAATTACAAATATGTGACACACATAATTATTATAATAGTAATACACCAGTACTGGTGTATTTTTATAACTCATACCTCTATCCATAGAGTATTCACTCTATGTATTAAAATTTTGAAAAATTAAAAAAAAAAAATTATTACCTTTTTTTTATTAGTAAAAATATGTTTTTAATATAGTCTTAGAGTGCAAAAAAAATAATACATAAAAACTAGAGAAAAATTTTAATTGTATCAAAAGTTATAAGTAGGGTTTAGATGCACATTGCATTTTTTTTTGAGGTTATCTTACCTAGTTGTTATCTAGTTATTACCTAGTAGGTTATCTTACCTATTTAGTTGAAGCTCTCCTAAGAACAAAATTTGATTTATGTAATGGAGAAATGAAAAATTAAACAATAAAACTTATTTTGCATTATACTATATTTTTTTTAATTTTGAAAGTATTTTTGTTATTTTTAGGTCATTTAAAAACATTTTAAGGCATAATTAAGTAAAAATTACTTTTTTTTTAAATTATATAGATTAAAAGTGTGTCTGCAGAGACAAACATTTAATTATTTGTATTACTTTTTTATGTTATGAATAAAACAATTATAATATAATAGGCAATATAATAATATATAATTGAAATAATAGCAATCACAATGTCATAGGGTATTTGAGGGTTTAACTCCCCAAATTTATGAAAACTACCTGTATTTTTAAATAGAATTTTTTTTTAAGAAGAGAAATTAAGTTTATTCAAACATTATGTTTCAATTGTGCTTATAAAAATATTTTGTTTAAAATAATATAATAATTAAATATAAAAACTTTCTTAACTATGTATTAATATTTTTAATACAAAATCAATTTAATGAATACAAAAAAAAAAAAAAAAATTTTGATAGATCATTTTTAATAGAGTACTTTTTTTTTTTAAAGTTTTTTTATAAGAAGATCATTTTTCATTGTTTTTTAGGGCATTTAATTCCAGGTCCTAAGTATAATAGTTGTCAATTAGATGTGTTCTATTCAGTATACTTATAAGATATTATAATTTATATACTTATATTATATTTCATAATTGTTTAAAAATATATTAATCAGTCTTTAGTTATTCCTAAAAAATTTATTAATGTCAGTTACATGTATTGCAAAATCAGTAGTGAAATATATTAATCAATTTTTTTTGTGGAGGATATAACTAATACTGTACTGAACATTTCTATTTATACATTTACCTATGGAAATCAGGATTTACGGACATTAGTATAGGTGTCTGTTTTTTTTGCATAATATTAATGGTTCTCATGAAGTTTGAAGCATTACTAACTAGTTGAGACATAGTCATTCGAGATATCTCCATATTGCAATCATGCAAAAATTCTTCTATTTGTTTAGATTCATGGACTAGATGATTTTTTTGACTTACTAGAGTAGAAAGTTTAGTATCGAGATCTTTTTCCAAATCTATCATCATACATTCAACTGCAGTGCGTATTTCACGCACTTTAAGCTCTTTAGCTTGATGTACATCTTTAATATTTTTATCCTAAAAAAATATTTTAAAATATATTTGTTATGATAAAAATAAATGTATAAGTTAAAAGTACATATGATTATCAGTATTCTTTCTATAGAAGTAAGATCAGTATGTTAATTATTTTTATATTATCTAAGTAACTTTATTATATATTTATTAATGACATTTGAGCATTGATAATTATCTATCATATTTATTTGGACCATATTTATGGTGGATTCATATCAATGAGCTGTTCTTAATTCATTAAAATGATATGTTAAGGAATATCTAAAATTTTGCTTAAGTAAAACTCTTTCATGAAAATCAACTATGACAATACTCAAACTTGACCCTAAAAATTAATAGCAATTAAGCATCTAAAATAACTTACAACTTCTTTTATGTCTTTTTTAATTAAATCTTGTTTTGATTTTAAATTATCACAGTTTTCTTCAAGCTTTACTATTGTTTCATTGTAAACTTCCTCAATAGGTTGGAATGAATGGCCAATATGAGCTGAGTTATCAAACAGAGCACATCGATGGCAAATAGTTACATTGCAAGATATACAAAATACTGTTAAAGGTTCATCATGTGATTGACAGCTAAAGAAAAATTATTTCAATAAAAAAAGATTATAAAATATAAAATAATTTAATATATTTTCAGAAAAATAAAAAAATAAATTTTTCAAAAAGTATTTTTATTTGATATAATAACAACAAATGAATTATAATACCTTTGTTCTAAGCATGGTTGAATATTTCTTGAATCTACAGCATTATTCAAGCAATCAAGTTGTTCAGATACATCTTCAACCCATCTGCAGTTAACAATTTCATGTAAATGTAGTGTAGCCCTACAGTGGGGGCACTGAGATCTTTGCTCAGTAAGCCAACGGCGCATACAAGAATAACAGCACAATTTAGAACAATGAGGACATAAGTGTGCATCCTGTATTTTTTCCATACAAATGAAGCATTTAAATGTTTCAAGTAAAGTCTATTAATAATAAAAATTAATTACTATTGAAAATTATATAATTAACACAATAATAATAATTAGAATTAAAAAAAAAACACAGGAAATATTGATTACAAATCCATAATTATAAACATTTATATACTAGATATTATTTTAGTTAAATTAATCATTCTAGTTTAATAAAATAAATAATTTTAAACACATTTTTAAAGATTATACAAATAAATACGTAAATTACCTGTAAATATTCCTGTTTTGGTGCCACAGCCATTTTAATATTTATAATTGCATTTATGTTCTTAAATTCAATATATCCTTTACAGTAACGAATTACTATTTATAGCAAATAATATATAAAATGTTTATCGCGTATTGATTTTATGTAGTAATATTATAATTCTTAAGCGGAACATAAGTCCCGATCTATTTAAAAATTTTGGCGTAACGTCTATGCATTTTAAGTTTTAATGGAGAAATATAATAAGGTACTAAATAATTTATTTATATTATAGATACCGTAATCCGGGTAATCAATTATTATTTCCATATGATTGATAACAATATTGATAAAACATATTCAGTATGTGATAAAAGCTTTGGTATATCTAACATTCATTTTTGACCGAGAGATAGCGTCTACTGACTGAATGAATACATTCCATCGCTGTCTATTTCTTTGCATTAAAAGAATATGGTATTTTAATGTCAGTTAACCTTTAGTAAAGAAAGAATTTTATTTGTTCGCTTAATATTTTTTCTGTAGTCATTTTGTTATATTCTTTTATCATTGATAATACATTTTACTTTATTATTATTAGTTTCCTGTAGTATTAAACTTTATGCAAATATATTTGTCATTATTTATTATAAAAATTGTTTAAAGTATTTCTTAATGGATATTCTAAAGTCATGAACCCAGGGCTTATTGTTTATCATCAGTAATCCAATATTGTGATTTAAACATGTTTTTGAAATTATATAATCTAAATGTGTGTGCCTAAAATTCTCGAGTCACGTCTGCCAATCGAAAAAAGGATCTTTAAAACTATAGACCCACTGATATATTTTATCATCACAAGTATTATAAATTATACTTGTGACAAAATTGGTGATTACACCACTGGTAAAATTAAACCTTTATCAGTAGTGTAATCACAGGGGTTAGAACGTTACAAGCCTCTTTAAATGATTAGCTATTTTGAAATTTGTCATGATTCAAAATTAGTTAATTAGTCGAAGACTTTTTGTTCATCAAAAAAATTGTTTTTGGAATTCATTAGGCATATTAGACTGCATAATCAACAATGAAATTTGATAAAACTATATTTTTCTTGAAATATAAATACTTAAGAAATTCTTAGCATTCTTAATAAGAATGAATACTAGTTTCAATTTATATTCGTAACGCATGCAAAAAATTAATACATTTTTTTATTCAATATATATTTAATATAAGATATATATAATATATCTTTTATATATGTATATAATATAAATATATTTAATAAAAGATTATCAAAAGTATTGTTTTCCCATTGCTATTAGTACGCGTCTTATTATAGATTAAAGGGTAACAGAATAATTAGTAGTTATTCCGTTTGTGTTCTAATAAAAGTATTTAGTCATAAAATACTCCAATTTGAATTTCGAGGTTTGTTTATATTAGTCTGAAAGTGATAGTACAAGTAGATATTTTAATATATTTCTGCCAGCTTTAAAATATTACGACCACCCAACAGATTTGAATGTTTAACTTACATGTAGTTGTCAGTAATAATCTTGTTTACACGACCTATTCTGAAGTCGTTGACAGCACCACTTAGTCAGAATAGTATGTTATTTTAAGAAGTTATAGTTCAATATATATATATATTTTTAAAAGAAGAAAAAAATGCTATTAAATAAATTAGTTAAATTGACTTGACTGTACATTTATAATTATAATTATATTTTAAGAGTGTATACACTTTTAAAAAGATACATTTGAATGTTCACATACATCTATTTAAAGTTTTTACGCATAAGTATAATATAAGGGAAAATTTAGATAAGCAGTGACAAAAATATAATATTTGTATAGGAATTGTCAATACTTTATATCAAAATTTCATTACTCGAGTAAAAATTAACGTGTATATTAAAAATTTCATAGTGACATATTGAAATTTCTGGATCATTTCTTAGAGTATATGGTAGAGTTAAGATGAGTAAAAGCTTATAGGGGCCTATAAATTAGGGAGTATTTTTTATTCTTTAATTATTACAATACTCTTTAAGTAACTTTTATGATAAATATTAAACGGATAGGATTTAACAAAGGATCATGTAAAAATAGATCATTTAACATTTTAATCTATCTAAATTTTATAATCATGACACACTATTATCAGAACTCAATATAATACTAAGATGAGTAAAGGAATCTAATTTATAATGGTAGTAATAATATTGAAATCGAGGGCGTTCCTAGTGAGGAGGTTAAGGGTTGAAACCCTACTGTGAAAATTATTATGCGTTTAGGATACAATTTGGGGAAAATCGTCAAATTATTTTTCTGTATTTGAAAAAATGTTGAACAAAGTCGTAATGAAATCACATTACAAAAATGTTTTAACATTCACTTATTAAAAATATCGCACCAACATTTTGTCATATTTTTTATCATTATTACATTACATACAAAATGTGTTAAAAATCATGTTTTGCAGTTTTGGTACCCCTTAAAGAATTTATACTAAAATAAAATTATACTCATTATTCAGATCTTAAGATAATATCTACCACGAGTTTTTAACTTTAGTGTAGTACTTGGGGATATTTTATCAAATAATCCAAAAATAGGTACACGACGGTTGCCTGTATGATGTTTTGATGTGTTACGTTATTGGAATTATCGACGCAATACCTTTAGATCTCTCTGTGGGTCCGCCTTAAATGCGTCACACAATTAAGTTCAATAAAAACGTGCGCCGCCCATTTACGATTCGATTTCACAATAATTTTCCGGTACATTCAACCCTTGTGTTGTCAAGCGAAAATTCTCTCGGACCGGTTTCGATTATTGTGCAAAAAAATAAATGGGCAGGCTGATGCGACGACAGAGAGAATATGTCTTTTTCATCATAAATGTTAAATATAATAGTGTTCCATCACAATGGACCTTCTATCCGTGACCGCCGCTCTCAACAATAAAACGTGCGTCTGATATTTAATGAAGTGGTAAAAGTATTGTAATGCTTCTCTTTCCATTTACTCGCGTACATTGTCATTATTTGTGCGTACGCCCGTTAAATTATTATTATTATTATTGTATAAAACGCCATCAATATATTTGCAATCAATACCTTGGCCATGGCACTTAAAAGCCAACTAGTATATCAATACGCTATTGGCATTGTGAGTTTTCTTTTAAATTTATTTATTGAATAAAAAGTGTCCATTCTATTTCTCGAACGACCCGTATTCTTTGACTGCTGGCCGACTCTACAATCCAATAACAATAAAATATCTATGATATTTTTTATAAGGTGTCCAGTCACTTATAAAATCATCATCGTTACCAAGAAAAGGGCGTTTTGCCTTCTACGCTCAACCCGATTGTAGTTGCGTTTTCCACTCGAGCTAATCGGACTTAATAAAAATAATTGTTTCCATTGTAATAAGCTATGATAGCCGTGTTGTTCACTTTTTGAAAGGAAAAAATGTATTATACAAAAAAATTATACTCTCATAAAGTTACTTGTGTATTAGCGCGTGTCGCTTTCTTGTTATTCGATTCTCATTAATCATTTTACAATTACACACTGTGTAACTCGGAATAGGCACACGCGCATCTAATCGGTCAGTGCACAATTTATACTTTTAAGAAGAATAATGAAGTAGAAGAATTATATTTTATTAACTTTTACTTATCTAAAATAAAATATTTGTCCGCTGAGATATTTTTGGCTTGATAGTTCTCTTCAGAAAAACTTAAGTAAAAATATTTAAATATGCTTGAGTTGTTTTTATTTGATTGGCAATTAAGCGAATTGTAAATACACTAAAAACAATATTGATCGAGTAATTTTTGTTTGTTATTTAGTCATTTAGGCGTATTCGTACGGCAAAATAGAGCAATAATGTGGTAGTATAAAAAATGTCTGTATTTAGATTGGTTATTAATTTCGTAAATAAGAGCTTTACATAATGCTATTATGTTCCTAAACATTCTTTTTGTTTCTTTGTTAGTCGACTAGTTACAGTGTTTAAACGTAAAAATAGTTTTAACGTTTTAATTTAAAGCCCTAGGAAATCGAGCGATGTAACTAATGAGATGCATTTATGGATAAAGAAAAATAAACTTTTACAAAAATAAGCAAATTTCGTCCGATTTGTTTATTAAATAGAAAAACGTATGATAAGCTTGTTTGTACTTTCAGTTTAAACATAAATAAAGTATCGGACGAAGAAAACATTTTAAGTAAAAACCGCGATCCTATTATCATTATTATTTATGGCGATACGAAATGTAAATAAACAATGAAGAGCTCATGTATAGACAGATTTATTAATGACTATTTTTTTTAACTAAAAGCCCACTCGAAAAAAAGGATATTGTATACAATATCCAGGGAACTAATGTGATTCATATATGAATTAATTATGCTTGATTTTCCACAGCCTTAAGAAATATTTTACAAAAAATTATATATATTTAATTTTCAGAGTTTCCCAAATTCTCGAGCTGAGGACTAAGCACTTGGAAACTGAAAGTTAAAAATAACTTGATGTGTTTCACAAATTGATCAATTTCAACTTGTTGTAGAAATTATGCGTCATCTCATCATCTCGGTGAAAATTGACAGGTTCCAACTATCGATTGGTGTATGGGTTGTTCGAGGAATAGCGAAACGCCGTGTAGGACAGGATTGGCAATGATAAGCTCGTAAAATGAGATATTACAAAATGTTTGCGTTTTACGCCTGAGCTCGGTGATTAGCGACGAATCCCTTTTTGGGGTATGCGACGGTGATTATCATAGCCACGCCTCGGGTATTATTTTATCATTATAAAGTGGCGACAACGCGGGTATAACTTTCTAAACTGTTCAATATTGTGTTCGGCTCAAAATAATACAGCGGTTTTCGAGGGCTAGGGGAGGACGCGAACGGCGTACACAGCTCACCCACACGCGCACAATAAAGCGGTAACAACGTAATAGGATTCTCCGTCGTAGGGATAAATTGATAGCTGGTCGAGCGGCAGGGTCGGGGCGGCTAATTCCGGCGCTTTAGCCCGGGCCAACGGAATGAGTTTCCGGTTAGTTTATTTGCCTAAACCCATTACGCTCATAATCCGTAACGGCAACTCAAATTGCTTTGCACTTAGCAAACGATCTCTGGCCCACTCCTTCCACACACGCCCCCCCCCCCCC